GCGGTGAGTGCTGCAAAACGGGGCGGAGCAACGTGCGCCGGCACTGGAGGCTTGTGGGTAAGAGCGCATGCTCAAGTGAAACCCTCGCTGATGTGGGCTCCACACTGTGGACAAAACTGGTTATTCCTTACACCTTGCAATTGGAGAAACCGAGGCTCCACGGTTATTAGGAAGTGCCTTCGGGCCCCTGACTCTTCTTTCTTTTTCGTTTTGTTTTGTTTTGGGGGGGCTCCTTCTCTTCTGATACTATTGTAGTTGTTCCTTATCCGAGGCACATATTTTGGTAATTTGCCCCTCCGAGCCTTAGTTGTCCACCCTATAAAACCAGTGTAATGATAGAGTCTGCTCTATAGAAGGTTTCGGTGAGAATGAAACGAGTTAAGCCACTTTGGACATCATCTGGCACATGCTACGCACAATGAATGCATGGGCATGCAATAAGTATTTATTGAGCACCTACTACTTGCTTACTCTTGAAAACACCAGTGAACAGACCTGACAGAACTGGCTCTCCTCGGGCTGAGGCGATGGCTGGGAGACAGACGGTAAACAAAATGAGCAGATAAATGTATTCTTTCCTTGGGCTGCTGTAACAAATCACACAATAGAAACCTGAAGGCAAGGTGTCAGCAGGGTTGCTTCCTACAGAAGGCGCAGAGACAACTCATCCCATGCTGCTCGCCCAGCTCCTGCTAGCTGGCAAGCTTTGGAGTTCCTTGGCTTGTGGACACATCACTCCAATATCTTTTTCTTGACACGGCTTTCTTCTCTGGGAGTGTCCGTGTCTAAATCTTTCTCTCCTTTCTACTACACGGACACTCCTTTTTCTTAGTAGAACCACTCTAAATCTAGGATAATGTCACCTCAAGATCCTTAATTACATCTGCAAAGACTTTATCTCTTGATATATAAAAGGCTAAGTGACCGATGGTACGTAAGTCCGATTGTCTGACCCACTGGTACATATGATGCACACTGGCAATTTAAAAATAAACGTTGACTCGCGCATGTGCGATACATATAAAACTCTCGCTCGCGCCAATCGCATGCGACGCCAGAATGTATCTGAAGACCAACTATTGGCACTTTGTTGTTGTTGTATCATGTTGTTGTTTATTTATTAATCAATTTATCAATCATTGTT